AGCGTATTTTCAACACTTTTACGACATGGTACAATGTTAAATTTGCGTGCCACACAATGAGTATTGAAAGAGCCATCGTGGCATGGCTGTTGATTAAGTAGTCATAATGGTAAAAATTGAAACGCGATTGAAGTCGTGTAAATTGATTGAAACTAAATTTAAGTTAAATGACTCAATGGAGATAAATTAAAATTTAATGGCAAAATTGAAATTTCACTACATGATCAGTAAGGACAAACGAAATCTACCATAAAAAAAGTTGGGTTGACAAAAAAATTTGTTAAATCTGACACTAGTGAGGCCGCCCCAAATGGGAGAGGATTCATCGCCTAATCAGGTAAAAAATGCATATCTGGGTTGCTGTTATCTCAATTGTACTACCTCGGACTGGAACATACATCAATTTGACGTAAAAAATGCTTTCTTGCATGGTCTTCTACAAGAAGAGGTTTATATTGAACAACCACTAGGATATATTGATTCTTCTAATCCAAATCACATACGTCGTCTCAAAAAGGCAATATATGGCTTGAAGCAAGCACCGAGAGCATGGTTCCATCGGTTCAGCAATTTTTTAATTAAAAATGGCTTCAATTGCAGCAAAGCCGATTCCAGTTTATTTGTTCACTCAACAGCTAAAGGGATCATTTATTCACTCTTATATGTCGATGATATTATCATCACAGGCAGCAATATGTCTCTCATTGACACTTTTATTCACAAGCTACGGCAAGAGTTTTCCATGAAGGATCCTGGTACTCTAAATTATTTCTTGGGCCTAGAAGTGACTTATTCTGAAAAAGGAATGTTCCTAAGTCAAATGACGTATGCGAGAGACATCCTAATTCGAGCTGATTTACTTGATTTAAAGCCAATTGGAACACCTATGATTGTCTCCCATCATTTAAATATTGATGGCCCTCTTTTCCACTCACCAACTACCTATCAATCCTTGGTGCACTGCAATATCTCACAATCACAAGGCCAGATATTACATACGCAGTAAACTCGGTGAGGCAATTCATGCATGCACCAAGAGAACAACATTTTCAAGATGTAAAGAGGATACTCAGATATGTTAAAGGAACTCTGCATTTCGGTCTTCACATCAGTCCATCAACCAACCTCAACATCTCGGCTTTCTCAGATGCCGATTGGGCTGGCTGCCCAGATACAAGTAGATCGACATCTGGTTATGCAATCTTTCTTGGTGATAATTTAATTTCATGGACCTCCAAAAGGCAGTCCACCGTATCTCGGTCTTCTGCGGAATCCGAATATAGAGCCTTAGCACTAACTGCAGCCGAGGTCAAATGGTTGTTAAACATCCTTCATGATTTACAAATTCAGCCAACAGAAATGCCCACCCTACTCTGTGATAACACCAGTGCCATTTTTATGTCTCGAAACCCAGTGGCTCAACGACGATCTCGGCACATTGACATTGATATTCACTTTGTCCGAGAACTGGTATGCAGTGGTGTTGAAGACTCAACATGTGCCATCCAACTTGCAAATCGCAGATATATTCACCAAAAGTCCATCAAAACCTATGTTTATGCTCTTTAGATCCAAGCTTCGCGTGTTGCCAACCACGCTTGACTTGAGGGAGAGTATTGGCGACAACACAGAATCATTCTCTGGAGAAAATCAAACAGCAATCAAGGAGAGAATCAGTCCAAGCATTAAGGAGAAACTTATGGCATTACAGATGTTGTACAAAGTTTTGGAGTTGATTAGTTCTAATTATAGAATGTATAGGTATCATTCTTTGTATAGCATGTACAGCTATTGTTTAGCTTTTACTCTTGTAAAATTTTCTATATAATGAAACTCTCAACGCCATAAGCAATTGTTGTGGTTTCACTACTGGTTTTAAATCTTTACATTGACCAAGTATGGGGACGGGGCAAATAGACAAAAATACTTTATGGGACGGAGGATGGAAATGATTATTCCGACCCGACCCACCCCACCCCTCCTAAAAGGGTTCATGAAAGGGTAATTATATTTTGTTATTTACTCACATTTTAATTGTACTAAACATACTAATTTTTTGCTAATTTCGCACTTGTGTTTCAACTTTTCTATCGTGTTCTTCATCATCAATTTTGTATTAATTTTTAGTCTAAAAAATTGTTTACGAAGAACCGGCGAAGTTAAAAAATAAAAAAATAAAAATTTGTCTCTCTATCTTCAAATAAGGCCCTGTTTGATTAGGGGCATTTTCCATAGAAAATGGAAAAGGTTTTCTATTTCCCCAAGATTTTCTTTTTTGATGTGCAAAAAGTGACCAAGAAAACATTTTTCACAGATTCATCCACGCGCCTGCTTTTCCTTGTTTTCAAGGAATTTGTTTTCTTTTGGTTTGGTGGAAATTGACTTTCCACCCTTTTTTTTTTTTTGGCAATTGGAAAAAATTCTAAATACAATGGTAAAAAAATTTATCACTTTTATTGACAATTTCCATACAAAACAAAGTCAAACGTGTGGTATTCGGTATGATAATTTTGTTTAATTTTCGTCTTTTTTTTTTTACAATTGGAACAAATTCTAAATCTAATGGTAGAAAAAATTATCACTTTCATGACTAATTTTCATAAAAAAATAAAGTCAAATGGACACCAAACTTTTAACATTTTTTAGGTGAAAAATTATATCAATCAAACACAATTAATTACAATTCTCAGTAAAACAATTTCTAGACAATTCAATTCCCTGTAAAATATTTTCTTTCTACCAATTTTCCACATTTGCAATCAAACGAACCCTAAGTAAAATAAATAACAACTGCAGAAATTCAATAAAATAATTAGCCCTCATTTTCAATGCACGATAGAAGAATATTTGGATAATTTTTTTTATAAGAGATAAAATGTGGTAATTTAATTGAAGGTTAAAAAAGAGACGAAAAAATTAGGGACTAATATAAGTGCAAAAAGTAAACAAATTTTGAGAACCTTCATTGCAATTAAAATAGTACAAATAAACTGTAGTGTGAATATAATTACCCTTTGTGAAAATATTTTTTTTTGCAAAATAACCTTTTTAAAAAACTTTGTAAATATCCATTTCACAATTATTCAAAATATTCTATATGAGTGTGTCAAGTCTCGAATAGGCTCTAATCAAGTAACTCAACTCTTTTTTATGCAAAATTGTTGATGTATGTACATTCCACTTGATGTTAAACATCAAAAGTATATATTAACGATGTCAAGACGAGTCTTATATAAGTGCAAAAAATAAATAAAATTTGAGAACCTTCTTTGCAATTAAAATGGTACAAATAAATTGTAGTGTGAAAATAATTTTTTTCTTTAAAACTTGGTAAATATCTATTTCACAATTATTCAAAATATTCTGTACAAGTGTCATGTCAAGTGCCAACATAGTCTCTATTCAAGTAACTCAATTTTGAAAATTCTAAAACCTAAATAAATAAAAAATTTGTTTTTAATTATCCAATTCAAACAGTACACGTCAAACGGTTAGAATATCCTATGAACAGAATCTAAGACATTCTGACTGCAGCGTATAATTAGAATCTAATATTCTAAGTGGTTTTAATCAATTGCAAAAATTAACTAACATATTAAAACATGAACAATAGATGTAACGCAGCAAACCCCAAATGAATTCACCATGGATAAAACCATTATATCAAATAATAAAAAATACAATAGTATCAGCTTTGTAAATTGTAAAATTAACAAAAACAATCAAAAGAAATTTAAGAACAACTCCCTCGGTTTTTTTTTTTTAACTTGTTGTAGATGTGGAATCAAATCATATGGTCTTGATATTATCACCACTTCACTATCGTAGTAAGCTATAATCGCCACTTGGATTAAAATTCACCAATCTTAACTCACGTCTAGCAGCTTGATCTTGTACATATAGGCTCAAAAGAACGGTTGGCTATGAGATTAATCAATAAAGCATGTCACTCATTGTACTTGCTGGGAAATGGCATAACCTGTTGCTGCTGGTTTACCAGAGAGTTCAGTTTTCTCAAAGTACTTAATTGACTTCTTAATTTCTTTCTTTACTTAGGTAAAGCTGTAAACAAGATTCCAATTAAAACTTACCTAAAATTCAAACAATGAAAGACGTTAAGTATGACATCATATTGTAGAAGATTTATTTGATATGGTAATAAATAAACTCAAAGAAAAGTTTAATATTAAATCGACATTTCCTTAAATTTAATTATTTAACCTATCAAATAATATCTAGAATGGTAAGTAAAAACTCTTTACAAGCTGCAATATGGAAATTGTGTCCTATTTTGGGTGATAAACCCTAAAATTCGGAGTCACAAGTCACTCACTAATTAGCACGGGCTGACTCGCAATGGCTTGTCCGAGAGTCCAGAAACAAAAAAATAAAAAAAAAAATTAATTTTACTAGAAAACAAAAAATGTGTTAGACGCTTGTCAAGGTTTTTAAACGAGCCAACTCAAGTCGTACTCATCCTATTTGCGACACGAGACGAGCCCAATGATAGGTCGAAATGAGCCAACTCAAGTCGTACACATTTTCTCGACATATTTAACTAGTAATTTTATAAAGATATTTAAGAAATTATATATTTAGTAAAAATAAAATTATTATCTAAATCATTCATAGACGCCCAAAAAAACAAAAAAATCAAATGCACTATACCATTTTAATTATGCAGGTACAACGTTGTTTTAGACATTTTAAGATAATAAATTATCTTAAAATATTTCTTTAATAAAAAGTGTCAACGTATTTAAATTATCCATCACTATCAAAACAACCAACTACATATTTATTTTCAAAAACAAGAAAATAAATAATTTTTTTCTCGAATGAAAATATTAATTATGATCGCAGATGAAAAATAATTTTTCACAGAATATAAGAAAAAGGAAGAAAAGAAAGAAAGAAAGAAATTCTCTCAGCTGTAATTATACACAAATTATTATGAAATTACACGAGTTTACTCCAAACTGCTATCTCCTCTCTCAGTTTCAGTTGGAGAAAGGTAAGCTGCAAAAATTGACATCAGATTTAAGCACATATAGAATAAAAATAAATAAACAGACAAGACTAGCATTTGTATGCATCTGATCTAAAGATATAAAACAGTTGGAAAGGCCTAAAAAAAATAAAAAAATAACTACATTATTTAAATCATGCACGTATCTCCAACTTCGGCTAAAAAATTATATTTTTAATCGAAGTGCAGCATGAATTTTTCAGAAATAGGATGATAATAGAGAGATTTGAACTCGAGAACTTTCTGTACCATATTAAATAGTAAATCTATTATAGAATAAAGAAATTTATATTTACGTATATGCACTATAAGATCCAACAAAGAATCGACAACCAGACACGAGCCAGGATTGGTAGCGTGTTTTATCAACAATGAATAAACGGAGAGTCATCCATGCATGTGTATTAAATATTTTGTATCGAACATACCCCAACTTGAGGGAAGTATCGGAGCTGCTCTTGTCCAGATGACAAAGGACTGATTGATCAGATGAATTGCCTCGTTCGACTATACCATTTCCTCTGCCTTCTGATTTCTGCATCAAGAATTCATTAAACAGACGACTGAATAAAAAGAACAGCATGTATGAACACCAAAGTACTAAAGAAATGAGGAAACTCTACATATGCTACTTGCTGCTTCAACCATGCATTTTCCTCCCTTAATTCGGATTCCTGCACGATATATTGTATCACATTTTAATGAATCCATTCGTATGACCCCAGATTTATTGAAGCATGGTTAGCTAAGCTTAAGCAAAAGTAAAATTAATACTTTCTTGGAAAGCAAACACGAACTGGAGCAAGTTTGTCTAAGATTAAGAAGTTAAATTACAAGTAAATATATTAAAGATGAACAAGTTTTGATAAAGTTGGAAATAAGTAACTTTCTTTACTTAATACTCCATTCGTCTCGTAAAAATAGACTTGGTTTCCTTTTTCTTCCATCCCAAATTTTAAGCCACTTGTTAAAAGTATTGATATTTTTTAGTTTTCTAATATGTCCATATTTAATGTAACTTGTTATCAGCAAATATAAACTAATCATATTAGGAAAAATGTAGGAAAATTTTATATTTTCAGCTATATTAATTACATTTTCTTAATCTGTGTGAAAATAGAAACAAACACATCTTTATGGGACGGAGGTAATAATAAGAATCAAATTAAGTTATCAAAACATGTTTGCGGGCATTTTTTACCCATTTTCTAAGCTTAGCCAAACTACTCTTAAAACAAATGCAATAAGTTTTCGAACTAAAAAACTCCAAAAAGGTTAAAAACTATATGTGACAAGTAAAGTTCACATTCATCTTTAGCCAAGCATGCTCTATGCTTGTTGTCGATGATATACTGCATCAAGTACTCGTCAAAATCGAGTGCGTTCGAAGACTTGCCTTTTTCTTGAGTGTGCTGATATCTTCGAGAAATCTTTCACTCTGTAATCCATTGAACGATTTAGACATGCTAATATCGGACTTATATGCAAAAGAAAATCGTAAAATTTCAACAGAAAATAATTACCTTAGTTTTAACTACACGGCTCAGTCCTCCCTCGATCCTTTTCTCAAGTTTCAACAAATCATCCAAGCAAAGTCCTTGGATATCTTCACCCTTAAGTTGCCTATCATAATTATTGTTGCATCTCAGTAGTCCAAATGTAAAAGCGTAGAATAATAGCATATCTTTGACAGCAAGATGCGCCTTATGCGTACCTTAACTCGAGGGTCTTGTCGACAAGTTCCTTACTGAGCATAGCATGGTTACCATTTCCCCACTAGAATGTATAAAGAAAGATGTAACGTTAGAAGTCACGATCAGCTATCAACACTGAATTGTAGAAAAACAAGCACTTTCGAATAAGGTTAGAAGTGTTCATTTTTACTTTTATGTTGTTATTTTTTTTATGTTTGAAAACATGTTCAGAACATTTTGATAGTAAGGGTTACTCTCAACATAACAACTGATTGGCCAAGCTTAAGTAAATTAAAAGTATTTATAAGTAAGTTTTTCTTTACGAACATATTTAGATAACTAAATTTTTTTTAACTAAGTATATTTATTACTTATTTTCAAACTTTCGCCAGCTTAAAAATTATTTGTATCTTAAAATTTACTTATAAGTAAATTTTTTAAGCTTAGTCGTACCTTCACTATAATGGCTTTATTCATATACACCCCCAATGCAAGCAATGTAATAAACATAACTTATCCGACAACCCCATTGTTCTCAGACAAACTTGCAATGATCTAATATTTTCTAAAAACCCAAGTGAAAATTATGGTAATTCTGTCATAGGTTTTCCCTTTAAGAAGTTCATGGGTAAAGAAAACTCCGAGTGAAAATAAATGAGTTACTAGTCGCAGAATATTATTGTCGTTGGACACGACCTTAAACGCCACAGAAGACAGTTTTCTTACTGACCATCCAGGAAAATTGACTTGAAAGTTAAACAAGAAAAATATGGAACTTAATGCAGAATAAAGTGTGTAACTAAATGTGCAATATTTACCTCGGAAGGTTGGCATGAATTGCCACGGCTCTCTGATTGCTGATTATACCTTTCAATTAGTTTCCTCATGCTTAACAAGAACAAGAAACATCAAAATTCTGAACTAACTGAACTTCATGAGGAAGCTGAAAACACAATTACCATGTACCTAATTTCAACTAATCGGGGGATGAGGAACCCCCTTTTCAATTCCACTTTGAAATTTTGCGTGTTACAAAATATTTAAGTAAGCTACAAACAAGAACGAGAACAATGACCAAACATGGTTGATTTCAACCAAATGGTTACCACAGTCACTTCGTGTCTAATCAAGAGGCCAAACTCGCATTTAGCAATAATGTGAAATAGCCGTAGGTCAAACTAAGGAGATCTTACTGATAACTAGACATCAAACACGAGAGTACTCACTTCAACAATATTACGAGTATGTTTGGCAAAACTTTTTAAAGCTTAAAAGCGATCAAACTTCATTTCTATCCACATATTTTGTAGAATCCGCAACTTTTATTCATTATTTATCGACACATTTTATAGAACTCATAGCTCATATTATAATCTACAAAAAACTAACATACAATACGTGCATTAGAGCCTAACTAATAAAAATTGCACATATACACTTTCCGTGTGCGATAGGACTTTTGTTCAACATACAACAAGGGAGTTATTCCACAAGTCACCAAGGACCCTTGTACAAGTTGCTAGATATTATTGTAATTCATATTCTTTATTAAGGGTAATTGCATCTTCTACATTGTTTAGAGTTCTTTCTAGTGTCCTCTTTGTAAACCAATTTCAATACACTGAATAATATATTAGGATCTTCTTTGACACGGACGATGTGATATGTTTCCAACCTTGCACGGAGGAGGATTTTCAAGTGATTCCAACCCCAATGTAAGGAAGACTTTCGAGTTAATCCAACTTTGAAGTTAGGGAGAGTATAAAGTGAGAAAGCAAGTCTTACATTATTATGTTTTTCATTTTTTGATGATTCAAGGCTCCTTCACGAAGAATGGAGTGGCACATCCCAACTAGGATGATTAAGTCAATAAGAAAGTAATGAGCTTAGCCTTTGGACCTTGACATAATGAATGTTTAACAAATTGCATGAATTCATATATACAATCATTTTCATTTTTTACAAACTCTCAATGCCTAACATCTCGAGTCTTACGGAGTATAAGATATTATTGTCATTCAAGTTTCTTGTAGGGCTAGTTTTATCTTTTATATTGTCTACGGTTCTTTGATACGAGCTAATCGTGAGAACAAGAATTCCAAACTCCCATGACAAGTATAACCGCATTTAATAGGTTTTACAACTAGAAATACAACTAAAGTACAACTCTCATGGCGTACAGTTAGACATTATAAAAGAAGAAAAAAGTAGCATCGAATCTTAATCAATATTCAGGATTATACATGTTCTTAGATAGCACTATATTGTGGCTCTCCACAAGGCTAAGTAAACATTAACCCGATTTCATTTGCTACCTAGCTAGTGAATTGACAATTTTACGACATATTTAAATATACTAGAATCTTGCAATATTTTATCGCGTGTCCATGTTCCTTGATTCCATGAGGTTGTAACCATTACAATATGGAAAATAAACCCACGATTAATGTTCATGATAAATTTAAAAATTTTACAGTTCCAGTGTAAATTTAGTATTTACTATAATTACATATAAACATTAAATAGTTCTATTTTCCAATAAATGTACCATCTCATCATGATCACATACAGGCCACAGCCCATACACTGTGATACTACAAGTGTGAGGACAATCTGACATCCACTATCAACATAAACATATTTCTTACTTTTCTTATTTTACAATTAACCCCTAGTTTTTTTTTTTTTAAAACTTTCTCATAATAGATTTAGCTAAGGAGTATCTGTGATCAATACAATTAAAATGTCATTAAATTGAGAGATTGATTTTAATTGAAACAACATAAAGAAAAGAAATTAGTCCCATTATCCATGACAGACAGAAGATCAAGAATTAACACAAGAAGATATATACAGTTTTCAAAAAAATATCACCAGCTCCCATAAATTTAACACTAGGGAAAAGAAAAAAAAAAAACACAAACACAAACACACACACACACAAATTTAGTAGTTCTTAGAGATTTTGTTTATTTAATACCCAAGAAAAGAAATTGAAGTCCCATTTTTCTTGACAAATAGAAGATCAAGAATTTGATAAACGAATACACACATTTCTCATCTAATTGTCTCTACATTTGATCACTGTCATTCTACATATTGTATTCACTTCTCCTTTTGATTATACAAATACTGTAGGAAAAAATGCATATGATATTACTTACTAGAGTGCCCTAAATTTTTTCTTACCTCATGATTTTCACTTAATTATAATTACCTAGGATCTGTTACTGACCACTTTTTATTGATCTATAAATCTCTTCACATCTACTGATTTGAAAATCGGCTCAAAAGAGCAATTTCTACTAGGGTTTTTACCTTCAGTTGTCTGGTTCTTTTCCTTATCAGCCTGTTTTTAGTGCCAAGAATTATCCATACATATAGATTCATCAAAGATGATAAAGCTTGGTGGGTGTGTATGTGTGTGTAGAGAGAGAGAGAGAGAGAGAGAGAGAGAGAGGGGACCTTGAGCTGGAATAATCGAAGAGTTTTCCAGTAGCAGAGAAGATTATGAGGGCAATTTCAGCATCACAAAGGGTTGCGAGTTCTTCAGCCTTCTTTAAAAGCCCTTTCCTTCTCTTCGAAAAAGTCACTTGCCTTGCTGTCAGGTTATCAATTTTCTTGATCTGAATTTTCTGTCTCACCATTTCCGTACACCCCCAACTGCAAACCCCAGTGTTTTATCAATATTCGTGAGTGTTCGTACAGCTTAGGGAGAGAGAAAGAGATGGGTTTTTGATATAAATAATGAAGGTAAAGGGAAAAAGCAAATCTTCAAGTACAATACAGAATCTCTACGCAAAACCCTTAATTACCAAAATAGATCACAGCAAAAAATAAGAATTTGGAGTATAGAAAGAAGGTTGAAACTGTACAGTGCTACATTACTATTAGAGGGAAGAATTGACACTACCTGCAGATGGAAGGGAAGAAACGTAGAGAGAGAAAGAAGAGAGGAAAGCAATACAGATAGGGGTGGTACGTAGAGATTTGGACAGATATCTTGAAATTACCATTCTGGGACGTTGGTTAAGGAGCTTTAGATAGATCATCCACGATTCCACACACGGACCACACCATTGGATATAGCTTCGCCAATAATAAGAGGAGAGAGAAGCGTATGGGAGAGTAGGAGAATTTAAATCATGCACGTATGCTATGTGGAAATAACATCTTAAATTAAACAATAATTTATCAATAGATGATATGTGAAGAATTGATAAAATTAAAATTTCATCAATCAAATAACATCATCACTTACATTTTAACACATCATCATTACATAAAATATTATGTAAGTAATTGTGTACAAGAAACATTTTCCTAAATCATGTTTGAGCGTTGTTTTATAATCACCTTAAATTATAAATGGATAAGTGAATTATACTTACGAGTTTCAAAAAAATTACTAATATAAAGTAGTTTGATATATTATAAATAAATTATAAACAAGAGACAAACATGGGCTTAGTGGTTTTTTTTTCTCTCTCAGTTGGATCGTGCCATCATATCATAAGCATGTTTAGCGAAGCATAAAATTATGATTTAAAACGTTTAAACATATTTTCACTTTTTCTGCATATTTTAAATAGTTTACGAAAATAAGGTGCGGAAACTTAACCAATCAAACCAAGAACACACAATTCTTTGAATTAATCTAAATGGACAGACTCTATGACAACCATTGGTGACAGGATTTTTAAAAAAATTGAGCTAGCGGTGGAAAAGGATAATTCTATTTGTACCGAATGGGGATTACCGAAAATGTGCCACGCTCTCACATGCGAGTGGGTCCCGCGTGAATAAAAAACTCACAAATGTGTGGTCCCTGCACCCTATTGTGAGTGTAGGTAAAAGATTATGTAAAAAATAGAGTGTACATGCAGCATAACCCGGTGGAAAATGAGGGAACCAAAGGAGGGAAAACTGCACGTGATATACCGCACTGCTGACTTACCCAAATCCAAAATTTTGCAACCCCCAAATTGAAAACCATTTCTTCCCTAGGTCTTGATCGTCATCACCCCCAGCCACCTCATTGAATTTCGATCTTACCCAAAATCTTACAATCCATGAATTGAAGATTTCCAACCAACCTTCTCCATCTCTGACATTCGATTAATTTTTTTTTTTGGAGATTTCTGACGACTCATTATCACGTTGAAGCTTTACCTCGTCCTTCTCCATCTCCGACCAAACGCTATAGAGGAAGCTCCACCCCCAAATATGATAAACCCACTTCGTTCGAAGAAGAGTGAAGCTCCAACCTGGCCCATAAATACGAATGTATTATCACTCGTGTCGCTTTATGTACTCATGTGTAATTTTGTTTATTCATTTTCATCAATGTGATGTTGCATATCATATTTGCAAATGACAAACTTAAATATGTTCATAATTAGAATAAATTCTTTTTCCAGCACTTTAGGATGAATATTAGGAACAGAGCCCAATGAAGTCTAGTGCAGGCCTACTGGGCCCAATTTGAAGGCCCAATTAATTTTTTTTTAAACTAATGTCCATAATTGAAGCCCATTAGCCCAATAATATTCAACCATATTACATTCATTAGACCCGAAATTACAACTATTCTTCATTCGCCTCCACTCCGCCTCCGCCTCTGCCTTTGCCTCCTCCTTTTCCTTCTCCTTCTCCTTCTCCAGTCCCGACTCCACTCAATTTCCACAGCCTCCTCAGTCCTCTCGCCTCTCAGTTTCCGCCACCTCCTCTGCCATTCAATTTTGGTTGCTCGGACCATCCCTGTTGCAGGTTACAATTCGTCTGCTCCGTCAACCGTCGTCTATTCTTCGGCATTAGCTGAAGAAGAAGGTGAAGCCCTGACCCCAAGCATATACTTGTTTTTCTTTTCTTATTTTTCTTATTGATTTGTGTAAATCGTAATAATATTTGATTTTTTTTCTTTTTAACATATGAAATTAGCACTTTGCTTTTCAATTGCTCGAAGCCTACTGCCTACACATTGCTCTTCAATTGATTTTGCTACCAAACTTCAACTTCCTTCCAGTATTGCTTCATCTGTGACTACGAATGTGAATATGTGATTTGTGAAGTGTGAATTGCACAAGTTCTGGAGATAGTATTATAGTATTGCCTTGTGATTTTTGAGTTGCACTTTGAAATGTGAATTGAATATAGTATTGCCCTGTGAATTGCTTATAATATTGCCCTGTGAGTTGCTTTGCTTTGGCTTCTTAATTTGAGTTTATGTTGTTACATGTATGATAGAATTTTGTTGGTTTACATGGCAGTAATTGCTAGAATGTAATCCGTTAATTTCGTGTTTAGATTTTTTACGTGAATTGGATTAAGTAATAATTGGATATCTAATGTCTCAACCCAGAAATGAAATGAAGAGATTCTTTCAAAGAAAAACTAATGTAGACAATGTAAATGTTGATGGGGAGATGTCGAATAATGTAAAATTTGATATCACAAAACTTTCAACTGATCCTAATCTAAGGATATCCATTATGTATTACAATGCTAGCATCCGAGATCACGTTCAAAGAACATACATGTTAAAGGATCCTTGTCAATTCCAAGATCATGACTTTCCAAAACGACAATTTGGAGTAAAAGCTAGACGATTCAATACTTCTTGGTTTAAAGAGTTCGGTTCTTGGTTGGAGTACAGTGGAGAAAAAGATGCTGCTTATATTTTGTATTGTTATCTTTTCAAAACAAGTTCTGGAAAGCAAGGTAGAGGTGTATTTTTTATTGGTGAAGGTTTTACATATTGAAAAGATAAAAAAGACTTTATACTCATGTTAGAAGACATGATAGTGCACATAATCAAGCTCGCACTAAGTGCAAAGTTTTGATGAATTAAGAGCAACACATTCAATCAGTTTTCTACAAGCAGTCAGAACAAGTAAGAAGTGCATATGTTACCTGTCTTAATGCATCTATTGATTGTGTTCGACCTCTATTGCGATTTCAGGCACTCATTTTAGGGTCACGATGAATATAAGGATTCTCTCAAACCAGGTAATTTTTTAGTCCCATTGGAATTTTTGGCTGTTCATAATGAAGATATTAATGCCGTCACATTGGGAAGTTGATGTGAGCATGACCGAACCAAGGCGTAGTCCCGGGAGAGATCCGTTGATGGTCGAAGGTGGGCCAATGACACGTGCGAGAACAAAGATGGTGAAGGAGGCGATGGGAGCATTGTCGCAAGCAACGGTGAATGAATTGGCATTATGGACGAACCAAGGAACATTTTCTATGAAGGAGTCGAAGCCCGAAACGATTTGGAAGAACATGATTTTGGCAGCCGAAGTTGGAGGCGATTTGCAAAGCTATGCGACCGCATAGCTTTAAGAGGCATGCGATCGCATGCGTCCATCCCGAGAGCACAGGCAGGGAATTCATGTGGTCTATGCGACCGCATGACAATACTCTATGCGGTCGCATAGAGTAAACTGGACGGGAATTTTTTCCTTTTCGCGAGATTTCCTTATTTGATAGACTTTCATTCCAATTGATACTCTGACCTTATTGGATTAATTTTGCACGGGTGTTACTAGGGTTCTAGGTCTAGTATAAATAGTTTTATTTTTCATTTGTGAAAACTTACACAATAATTTGAGATTCATATCGAGAGGCTATTGTTTTCTACTTTCTTATTCTTCATTGGACAATCTATTGAACTTATTAAGGTAAATCTTGTGGCGTTCAAATCGCGGGTGAGGTTCCAATTTATTCATATCAAAAGGGTCGACGTTCATATTGGATCGTTGGTTGTTTTGGTTCGATAATTTTCGAAGCAATCCCAAACTTGATTAACGTTGGCGATCTTGGGTTCGAAATCAAATTCAACGTGGGTTTTCGTAGTTAACGCTACGTGGGTTCACATCAGAAGTGTTCCTCAAAATTGTAAATTGACATCACATGATGTTCAAAAGGATATAGTAAATGCTTATGTTGTTGAGACGATCAATGTTATTATCAAAGATATTGGCGATTCATTATTTTTATTCCAGTTGATGAATCTCGTGACGCGTCAATAAATGAGCAAATATCAATTGTATTACGTTATTTAGATAATAGTCGACATGTGAATGAACGCTTCACAGGGATTGAACATGTTACAAGTATTACGGCTCTATTACTTAAGGTTGCAATTGATAAAGTATTTTCTAGATTTAATTTGAGCATGAATAGCTTGAGAGGAAAATGTTATGATGGGGCAAGTATTATGTAGGGTAAGTTTAATGGCCTGAAAGCACTCATTTTAAAGGAGAACTCACGTGCCTTTTATATTCACTATTTTACTCATCAACTCCAACTAGCTCTTGTAACTGTTGCAAAGAATAATATTCCTATTACTAACTTCTTTCATGTAGTTGGTGATATAGTATATACTATTGGAATATCTTCTAAACGTTATGATCTTCTTCGAGAGAAACAATCAAACTTTATTGTTGAGACATTGGAGAAATGTGAGATTTTAAGTGGACAACGACTTAATCAAGAAACAACCTTCAACATTCTGATAATACAAGATGGGGTTCACATTATAATTCTTTGGTTAGCTTACTTGCTGTGTTTTCTTCAATTAAAGATGTACTTGAACTTATTGCTGAAGATGACTCTTGTTCGTGTGATCAAAGATCTGATGCGAGAAATTTATTGGAGTCGATACAGACATTTGATTTTGCACTTAATTTACAGTTGATGAAAAGTGCCTTGGGGATTTCAAATGAACTATCAAAAACATTACAACAGAAAGATCAAGATATTGTGAATGCAATGCAATTG